CATCCACAGCTTCTCTGGGCAACCTGTTCCAGTGTCTCACCACCCTCACAGTGACAAACTTCTTCCTAATATCTAATCTAAACCTCCCCTCTTTCAGCTTAAACCCATTTCCCCTTGTTTTGTCATTACCTGCCCTTACGAAAAGTCCTTCCCCAGCTTTCCTGTAGCCCCTTCAGGTACTGGAAGGCCGCTATAAGATCTCCCCAGAGCCTTCTCTTTTCCAGGCTGAACAGCCCCAACTCTTTCAGCCTGTCCTCATAGGAGAGGTGCTCCAGCCCTCGGATCATCCTGGTGGCCCTTCTCCGTACTAGTTCTAACTGGTCCATGTCTTTCTTATGTTGGGGGCTCCAGAACTGGACGCGGTATTCCAGGTGGGGCCTTACAAGAGTGGAGTAGAGGGGCAGAATTTAACCCAGAATGGTTAACCTGATAATGTTCTTGAGCTCTGAAGTTACATACACAGAAGTTTAAGAACTGAGTTGGACATAAGAATGTTTGGAATAACTTTCACTGACTGTAGCGAGTGACTCATAAATTTAGTGAGCACTCTGTGTACTTCATATTACTTCCTCATATTATTAGTGGAATCATACATATACAATCAAGAGATAAATCATTATATATTTTGTTGCAAAATATAATTTAACACAGACAGGGACATTTGCGTCTAGCAGCAGTTTCTACTGAACAGGAGCCAAGTACATTTCCTTCTTGGCCTCCTTTCCCCTCTCTGTTTCAGTTTTGTGCAGTATTAGTTAATCTCTTCTAGTTTCTTTCTTCTGGTATCATGTAGTATCTAAAGGAATGCCCCCTAAATTAGCTTTTCTCCCAATATAAACAGTTATTTTCAAAAACAGGTGGGTGCATGTTTTATATTCCCAAGGAACAGAAAGAATGTTATTGCTTAGAATATTATTCTACAGCTTATTCAATTATTGCCATCCACTCCATCCACTTCAGAGCTCTCCAAAGATATATGCCCATGTGACATGAAATACAGGCCAAGTTTACAAGAACAGAGCTCACAAGAAAAAAAAAAGGCACAAAAACTTTTGTCCACAATGTTGTAATTTTGCTTTGCTGTGTTTTATAATAAAAGATTAAGATGCAGCAGGGTGTAAGTCCCAAATCTGCTCTACCAAAAAAAACCCACAACATCAAACACCAAAAAAACCTACATCTTGCAAGTACTGGTCATATGTTACTGCTGAACATGGAATCTGCTGAAACATGCTGTGGACCTCTAACTGTAGCCTTGAAATCACAGTATGGAAATCACCACTCTGGACAACTGACACAGCTCTAGATCAGTCTGTTTAGGTGCAGAAGTTCACTTCAATTATACCTGAAAGGAATTAGCTAATGTAACAGACATAATTTATCTTTAAAACCGTGTAGCCAAGTATATCTCCATTACTGCTTTTCTTTAGTATCCAGAAAGCAATGCTAAGCTGGCAAACTGTGCTCTCAGTGACCTGTGTGTAATCTAACAAAGCAGCTGCGCTCAGCAAGAACAATTATTTCATCAGAGAGCTAAGGAAAATCTCTTCAAAGCTCTGATAAAATCTTTAAAAGAGAAGATTCTAAAACAAAAGATTAATTTCCTTTAAGGAATCAGGATAAAGCCAAAGATACAATACTCAGGATCAAATTATTGATGAGGAAAGAGAAGGCAAAATACAGTTCATATATCATGTAAGGGGAGAAGGGACTGCTCTCTGCTACAAGAAAGACAAACAGACCATCCTATTTCTTTCTGTTATTTCACAAGACCTTGCAGGACTATGGAAGCGATCCTTTAAAACATAAACACACCTACATTAAAACAGTATTTTCCAGCAATCTAATACAAATTCTATTATTATGAGAAATAGATGTATACTTTCTATCTCTAAAGCAACTACACACGTTCTGCAACTAAGAGTTAAGAGTTTTCTTAACTCTTTCTTGTCAGAATGCTGCAAGAAAGAGTTAAGAAAACGTTAACAAAATTAAACTGGAACAATGGACAAGTTTTAAATACTTTCAAGTTTGATTCAGTGTTTAAAGAAAGAAAAACCTGCAAAGCCAATCCTATCCAAAGCAGTTTGACTTTCAAGGACCACATAGAGATGTCCAAAAACTTTATGTCCAATCGATCCTTGCACAAAATATTTCAGATCTTTAATGGAAATTATTAGTTATAGCAATAATAATTTTAAAAAACAATAAGTGATGCAAAGATGTCCCAAATTAAAACAACACACATGGAGGTTTAGCAGAAAGACTGAGGATAAGAAAAACATAGAAAAGACATAGCTTGTTTCTTCTGAAACCTTCATTAAAACATACAGGCTATTAGCCCTAACAAGAAAATTAAGAGAACTATAAAGTATTAGTGCATGGCAGCCAAAAAATTAAATCTTCCTAAAGCTGGATCCCAAAGTACTTTTATCTCTATATGGACAATCCCACATAATTTTTAATCCATTCCATTTTCCTTATTTATATTGTCAGTTCCCTGGAGCCAGGACTTTTTCTTCTTTACATGGCCACTACCAGTATTTTACCAGTAAATAGTTATCATAGCAGTACACTTTTGGTTTAAAAATTGGTAAAATGAAGAAAAAAGGAATAAAATTATTTTTCATATCATAATCCTTCATTTTAGTCCCAAAAACATAGAGATCTCCACCCAATCCCACCTCACCCCGCAACTTGAACTTTTATTACTTTTCCAGGTATCTGTTGGTTCTCTGCAGCTATACTGCTCGCTTCTGCCTGCCAACCAAGTTTTTCCACAACAGCAGCAACTGTCATTGCCTCTACTGTTTAGAATATATGTATTATATAGAATGGGCCAGCTTCTAATCCCTGTTAAATTGCTGTAAATCTGGAGTGATTTTATTAAGTCAATAGACTTGATGTCGCTGAGATCATGGTTTGGCCTCGTTCTTTCTCATGTAATTTAAGGAACACTGCATCTTTCCAGCAGAGTGGCATGCATTCTACACATGCTGTTCTTTACAGAGAGGCACGTTTTAACCACGCCACTTTTGTATGTACTGCTGAATCTGAAGCAGGTGACCTAATTTACTGTAACTGAATGCAAGGCCCGAGAGTCTGACTCCAAACTGCCACGTAATTTTATGGGGTGGACCAGAGAATGTCCCAAGTTTCTTGCATCATTTAATGTCTTGAAAAGGTCCTTTCAGTCAGAGTTGTCAGAATTGTTTGCATCCTGCACATGCCAAACTGAATAGGGATCCAGAATTTTCCAAATGCAGGGACCACAAATCGCTTGGCTTTTGAAAGAAGAAAGAAATAATTTAATCTATTTTTTTTTTATTTCTATTGAGTGCCAATTCTTTTAATACATTTTCCACTATTTAAAATATGAAAAGAGGCTATAAAAGCAATTTTTTAAAAAATCATAGGGAAAAAAGGCGAGCTTAGAAACATGACACCTTTTAGTTTCTCCACATAACACCTTGCTATTTCATTCATTCTCTAGAGAGACAGGTGGTATATTTCTTAGAGTAATAACTTCACTTAGGGTATTTTCTGGGGACCCTAAAATATTCAGGAGGGGCTGCTATTTCAGGGTTTAGGATTTTAGAAAGTTTAAGAGTCTTGTTGAGGAAGGTGAGAACATGAGTATTTCTCTTTACTGTTCCACACCCATCTTTTTTGATGGACTAGATCTTCAGAGCTCTGGATTTCAGCCTTTAGTTGTAGAACCTCAGGTGTCTCAAGATCACATATAGTTTTGAGAAAGAATAATGAGAAAGGGAAACCTATTGTCATTTGACTTAAATTTGTTCTGTAAGAATTGAAAAACAATGTTTGTAAGTTAACAAAGGACAAATTGTGAATGGTACTTTATGGAATTCTACATATTTAAAGGATTATGTTTTGTTTCAAGCAGAGTTTCACTGATAAAACTTGGTGCTCGCCTCTGTGTCACCCATTCTCCCACGTTCTGGCTTTGTTTCTTCTTTCTTCCCAATGCATCTGTTGCAGGACATTTCACATTCCTCATGATCACCCTGGATAAGTGACCTTTATGGGGAGGCAAGCCACTTAACCTCTCCCACTGGCTGGAGAGAAATATTTTATTACATCTACTATTGATGTGTATCATGAATCCCTAATGATAGGCCATGTCCAAACCCCATCTCTGCTATGTTTTCATAATCTGACAATTGCTTTAAACAATGAGCAAAAGAAAATGATTCTAAGTCACGAACTGTTAGCAGATGAAAAAGCTGACCAGCAAACTGCCTGATGACATACAGGCAATGATCAACAAGAGAGAGATGAACTTTATGTTTTAAAATATGACTGCCACAAGCTACAACTGCTAGATCCAGTGCTCAGATTTTTTGCAAAAGAGGAAAAACAAGCTATTCCCTTGAAGTGTTCAAGGCCAGGTCGGATGAGGCATTGAGCAACCTGATCTAGTGGAAGGTGTCCCTGCTGATGGCAGAGGGGTTGGAACTAGATGACCTTTAAGGTCCCTTCCAACCCAAACCATTCTATGACTCTATGATTCTATGAAATAAAATTAACCCAACAAAATGAAGGGTTTAACATCAAGTAGTGTAATGACAAGCCTCATTTCAATAGCCACTGATTTCCATTCAATCATCCTTATGCACAGCATGTCCATACAGACAGCTACAACTTGCTGGCATGGTAAAAGGCAGCTTTGGCAGAACCTCCATGGACCAATATGCATTTTCTCTAAACAGTGAAAATATAGTCTTTTTTCCAAGACAACAATCCTGTAGCAAATATTTATTTCATACCACTTACATAAAGTAGATCTAGTACCCCAAAAGTAAACACCTTCTTTCAACAGCTGCTAACTGGTCAACAAACTTTCTCATATTCCTGCTTTTTATTATGAACTAACTCAGCCAAGGTTTGGCCAGCTGCTCATGCCTTTTATCTTGTGTATTTGTGATGGCCTTCAGTGGTTGTGGCTGGGTTTTTTAAGGGGTTTTTTTGTAACTTACCTAGTAGAGATCGTGAGTTAACATCCCTTCTTCGGATGAAATGTCCTCCAGGGAGATCTTTTGCCATGATAGAAACAGTGGAAAGCAGCGTATGTCCCAACAGCAGAAAGAAGCATGCAATCATTTTCCTCATCTTCAAGAAACAGACGGACATTTAAGGAGGTGAAACTGCAATAAAGGAGAGAAGGAGATGAGCTCTTTGATTACACTGAAAGATACACTAAGTATGTCAGCCATACAGCTGCACTGCTTCCCTCCCATCACATACAAACATACAGATATACTGGCAGAGAATAATACCTACACCTTCAAGAAAGAAGTTCTACATAATAAAGTAGCAGTTAGCAGACTCCTGATAGTGTTTATAAGGATTGTTAGTCGAAGTTCATAGTTAACATTTAAAATACATCGACTTTTACAATCATTTGTAACAAGCAATTGTTCTTAAAGCAAGAAAAGGAAGTTTTTTTTTCAGTCAGCCTGTGAGCATAAATAAGTTTGAGGAGGACACAAATACATTTTCATTATTCTACTCAGCACTTCGTTGCATTTTTTCAGAAGTTTAATGGTTCTTGTAGTCTGAGGGATAGTTGCTTCAGAAAATCTTGGAGAATTAAAACAAGAGAAGGGAATATATTCCAGAAACTGCAACTATAAATGAGAAATGGTGACAGTTTGTGCTTCCTTTTCAGAAGACTGTCTGTGGCTGCTAACATGAAGATAACAGTGCAGAACAAATCTTGTTTACTCAAGGAAACTTCTGAGGACTGGCATTGAGCTTGCCATAGATTACAGAGAAGTTTTGTCATACAGAGGAATAAATTAACAGGCAAAACTCCTGCACTAAGAGATGACTCCTGCCCAAGAGTTTGTTGGGGCACCATCAAAAGCCATGGTGACTCTCCCTACAAACAGAAAGCTAAGACCAATGCATTAAAGGCTCATCTTCTGGCCATGTCCCCTGTTGGTGGGATTCCCCAGATGGCAATTCGTTCTACCTTCCTCCAACACTTTATTGTTGTGGGTCGTGAAGAGAGCATCTCACAAGTGCTAGATTGAGCCTTGGAACTGATGGTATGGTGAAGCCTAGTCAAGAGCTCCCCTAGGTGCACAAGAGATGGATAAAAACTGAAACTGAGTGGAAACCTAACAAGCAATGCAAATTTTAACAGTAATTCTTGGTTAAGTAACTAAGATGTTGAAAACAATTTTAACAGGTCCTAAATCTGATGAGCACATAGAGCCACAGATCTGTAACAGAAGGCAACTAAATGCTGCAGTTCAGAATTTATTTTTTTCCCACCATGAGGTACTCACTGGCAGAACAGAAAATTCTAAGCAAATATTTTCTCTCTAATAAAGAGATTTTATACATCTTCAGTCTGTCCCGTACAACCATTATACACTGATCTATTTTTCTGTCTTTCAATCTGTTTTTCTTTTTGTGTAGCCTACTCAGCATCTCCAAAATGCAAACACAATATTCTGGTGTATATGCCAGAGAGCAAAATGAACTGAGTCTTTGCACTCAAAATGCCCAGCTTTGCTTAAACGTTTAATGTTATTCAGTAACAGGCAAAACGTGATTTAAGGACATTCAAACTAGGAAAGAGAGAGAAATTGACACTTATAATACTGGCCACAAATTTAAATTTTTGGAGCCCTAGTAGAATGGATACCTGGATGGTACTATTGATAGATTATTTCCAGTGCTCTAGTCAGAAACAGGTGGACACTGCAAACAGCATGCACTACTGAAAATGGCATTAAATTTTTCTGGAGGCAACAGCTGCTACGGCTGGAGATTCCTGATGAAAGCTTCTCCCAGGTTGTCTCCTCACTTCTCAGGACATCAGCAACAAACACAGGGCTCTGCAATGAGGCTTCCTCTCTCTCTTGTATGTTTCTTCAGCACACAAAGCAAATGAACCTCAAGGATATATGCAAGTTCTAGTAGCAATGTTTTAGAAACACAGAAACCACGCTTAGAGAGCTAAGGAGTACAGAGGTGTATTTCTCATACTTATTCGCAAGGCCATCCCAGGAAGCAGGCATGAACAGATCACTCAAAAGGGATATCTGGCTGTTACCCAGTTACCAGTGGCCTAACCCACCCTCATTCCTATTCATCCTAAACAGCTGTGGAGATTGGGCTAATCCCCACACTAATTAAGTAAAGCAATTTTACCTGTTCCTGATGCTTTGTTAATAGCAAACCACGGTTAATGTGACAGAGCACCTTCACAATATGTTGCTGAACCATCCACTAAGAGCACAGTGCCAAAGGAAACTATGATAAAGAAGTGACTCAGGATTCTTGCATTCTGGCATGTAACATATTTTATACCTTTGTAGTAATTTTTGGTATTTGTTAGCAATTTCAAATTCACTAGGCTCACAACTGCTCCCAAGCAACTTGAGATATAAGAAAAAAAACACAACTTTTTTTCTCCAATTTTAAGTCTTTGAATTCTGTTAGGAAAATGTTTATATAGCATGTAAATATTGTATCATTAGCTGACCATATAAACTAAAATGCCTAAGTAATTATTCATTAGCTGTCACAGAATTCTGAAACATATTAACATAACTTCTATTCTTTAATAGTATTTCATTTTGATTCAGAAAACTTAGATCCTTAGATCTCAATATTTTCACCAGCCTGATAACCAGAAAATAAGTTTACTTACAGTTCCACCAAAAAAAATCCAATTCTCACAAAAAAACCTATTATCACCACACTCCTACGCTAACAAACAGCATTCTAAAATACTGTTTCAAAAGGAAGCAACCCTTAAGAGAGGAGAGCTTTAGTTTATATACTTAGAGGTTTTAAAATCTTACAGGTTTTGATATACAAGATAATCTAAAATAAAAATTAGAGCATGATGAAACTGCATCCATTTGCAATGAGAAAAAGCCCAACAAGCTCCCAAAGCCAAAGGCTGTGTATGTGATAACAGATACCACCAATCCAAGTCTGCTGCCATCCTTTCATCCACACCAAAAGCTTCTGTACTGTTCTCCTGAGGTGACGACAGTCTGGACTGGTGTGCTTTGCTCTATTTCCAGGTACACATTTGTGTCTAATGCTGCTTGTATTTTTACATGACCAGTTTGTATTGTGGTTGCACGGCTTCTCTGCATGTGCTCCTCCCGCGGTTCTCTGTTTACTTTCTGGGTCTTCTGGACAGGTTCCCTGCTTTCACTCTAGAAGCTGGATGGTGTTTATTGCACCACATCTGGTATTCAGCACCTCATTTTCTCAGCAGGCTAAGCCCGGCTGCTGGCACAGCCCTTCAGAGCTCCACATTTCTGGCTAACCCTTGCTCTATCAGGCTACAAACATAGTCCCAAAGTACCAAAGTTAAACCCACATATTTTTATGGCTACCTGGAAAAAAGGTTTCAAGCTTTTTAATTCCAGCTGTCACAGCAGGGAAATTCAGCATTATACCATCAAGAGCTAAATGCCCCGTGCCGACTCAAGACCAAGTCACTGTATAACATCCCAAACACCTCAAAAGCAGAAGACACCAAGAGGAGGTGTGGCAATACATGGAGCTCAACCAGGTTGAGCACCAGATCCACCGGCTTCCTCTGCTCCATTCTTCTACCCATGGAGACAGGGAGAAGAGGGTCCTATGCAGGGCTTTCACAGCAACCTCAGAGCAGTCAGTGCAGCCCGCTGCTCCACTGGACGCATGAGGAAGCTCCTAATGATGAAGAGGCAACTGCTACTCACAGAGGTACAAACCAGTAAGGGCTGCTTGCAATATCTGCAGCTGTCTTGAAGAAGTTTGGTATAAAGAAGGAGATTCTCCCAGAAGATGGTAAGTAAATAGACTCTTCATCTTTTCAGGCTTCCCTTGCTCCCTAACTGGCTGCTAGGCAAGAGCTAAATATTTCCATGGTGTTTTCTTATCAACCTTACCTGTGCTCGCTTAGCCATATACTCACCCAAGAGAATATTTTTTCTGATGCATTGTTATGGATTTTCAGTTTTCATGAACTACAGTGTAAAAATACTGAAAAATTAAATTGAGACTTCATCTGTAAAATACCTATTTCTTTTGTTGGACAGCACTCAAAACAATACAAGCCTGTTTCAAATATCTTTCCCTGGAATTCTGTTTTGGACAGAGACACTACTGAGTATGCAGTGTCCGTGGTGACAAGTCAATAACCTTCTCTACTGCATGGTGCATGTTATCAAGATTGGTTCTCTTCACTGTGATAACTCTTAAATAATGTCAAGGGAGAAGGAATGCTCTGTGGCTCATGCTGAAGTCAGTGTCCTTCCATCTGTTCCTTTCCACTTCAGGGAAATTTCTTTCACACAGAATTGGGAAAACGGTCCACTGGCCCAGAAGGCCACCTCTTTTTCATTCAGGTAGCTTAAAAAGGTACCTATCTCTGCTGGGCAGATCATCCTGAAAAGAAATTGGAAAAACAGGTGTGTTGGGTTTGGGGGGGGGCGGAGGGGCTGTATTTTTTGGTAGTGGGGGAAGGGGCCACTTTGT